GAATCTTTGGCACAAACTCTGATTTTCTAATCCTTACATTGTCCCAACCAAATGTCGTGGACCTTAGATATTTCAAACTGTGAATTTTGTTAGCTCAACAAATCTAAGTTTGAAATATTAAATGTTTACATGATCAAAGGCCAAATTTAAAGAATTTGAGCCGCGGCTTAAATCTGCCAAAACCCGGTTTAAAATTAAGCGCCGGCTAAAATCTTGAAACATTTGATACAATTTTAAGTGGAACCATCCATATTTAAGCTGCGGCTTAAATTTTAACCGCCGCTCAGATTCTTTAAATTCGGCCACAGGTCGCTCAGATATTGGGAATCGAAAACTTAAGTTTGTGGCAAAAACTCAATTCAGAGATTAGAAAAATCGAATTTGTTCCAATAAGACCAAAACAAACCGTAATTTTAGTGCATAACTTGAACCTAGCTTATTCTAGACACTGCAAGCAGCAAACTAGACATAAAAGGTTAAATTTATGCGATATTAGTGGTACAACTTTATGACCTTGTACCTCATCTAGTTACGCACAAGAATGAGAAATACTAATTAATTTGGTTACAGATAAGATATTCAAAACATATAAGTTTTTCTTAATAGATCTTTATAAATAAGAGAAATTAGCATTTAATACACATGAGACTTTAATCTAACGAGCAATTTACATTAGTTTTACAAGATAGATAGATAGAGTACACTTTCTGGGTGCCCCCCCCCCCCTCCACTACAATGCATTGCATGACCAAGAGCTATCATTTCCACGCATTCTGCAGTAGTGTAAGGGAAGGGCTGAATCTAAAACCCTATTTCCAGTAGATGGTAAAATTCGCAAAATTGGCTAGCTAGGAATCTACCAAAAGGAGAATGTTTGCAAAACGTTTTGAGAAGATAATGATGATTGTTCAAAGCACTAGGCCTCATAATACAAAGGCTAAATTTACGTTGGGAAAAATCCCCTTTTAAAATGGGTATTTAGGCACGTATCGAATAGGTTTTAGGATAATATTTAAACAACATGTGTCATAAAATTTAAAGAAAAATTTGTGGCTAAATTAGGCAGTGTTCCAGTCATATAAAGTACAGAAAATGTTTAATATACAAATACAATAAAACGAAACTGTCAGTTTTGCAATTTTCGAAAAATAAAACCAATCAAAAAGACAAAAAGTAATATGTTGCAAATTAGCAAAAGGCCGCCGGTATGAATTACTATTTTTTCCATTGTTACAAAAATACTTCCGGAATTTGTATATATTATAAGGGCCAAATAAATAAATTTTAAAGTAAAAAAAATCAAAAAAAAATTTTAAAAAAACTTTTGATGTCCAATTTTCATTTTTTTTCTCCTAAAACATCTAAAATAATTCTGACACAAATACGTCCCTGTCATACCAGTGTGTAAGCAGCGTTTTAACAGCACACAACTTTTTGGCTTTTAGGAGTTTTCTCAAAAATCTGAGAAGTTCAACAAAGGAACTTTGCCACAAACTCAAAATTTCTAATCCCTACATCTTTGAAACCTGCCGTTATAAACCTTTAATATTTCAAACTTAGCCATTTGATGTAATAGAATTCATAGTTTAAAATATCTAAGTTCTACACCAACGTGTTGCAAAGCTATAGATATCAGTAAAGTATTGTTAGACGCCTTAAAAAAGAAAAAAAATATCCAAAATGTTCACCCTTAGGACTTTGAGAGAAAGAGGTATTTTAAACCCTTCACAAAAATAAGGGAGTTAAAAACCTTGCAGTATAGGGGGGGGGGGTAAAACCCGTACCTATAAAGAAGGCGTTTAAACCCCTGCAAAAAAAGGGGGTTAAAAGCCTTCTACAATAACTAAGGATTTAAAAAAAACCCTGCCGAGAAACGGGGGTTTAGAGCAAATAACAACAAATAAGCAGTTAAAAACTCCTACCGAGAAAAGAGGGTTTAAACCCGCTAAATTTATAAAGGAGTTAAAACCCTCTGCAGAGAAAAGGGGTTTAAATCCTGCTACACTTATAAAGGAGTTAAAAAACCCCTGAATAGAGAAAAGGGGATTTAAACCCTGCTACACTTATCAAGGAATTCAAAACCCTCTGCCGAGAAATGCGGGTTTAGACTCTGCTACAATTATAAAGAGTTAAAAACCCTCTGCCGAGAAAACTGGGTTTAAACCCTGCTACAATTATAAAGGAGTTCAAAACCCCCTGCCGAGAAAAGAGGGTTTAAACCTTGCTACAATTGTAAAGAGTTAAAAACCCTCTGCCGAGAAAAGTGGGTTTAAACCCTGCTCAAATTATAAAGGAGTTGAAAACCCCCTGCCGAGAAAAGTGGGTTTAAACCCTGCTCAAATTATAAAGGAGTTAAAAACCTCCTGCAGAGAAAAATGGGTTAAAAACACCTTGACCAGTTCCAGGGTAGTTTAATAAGTAGTTTTCAAATATCACATGCAATACTGGCAGGTAACTCAATTTAACCCTTATGTGCCCTGGAGGAGGGGGTTGGGTACAGGGGAGGCATAGCTCACCCTTAGAAAAAAGTCTAAATTAATAGGACCTCAGATGTAGTTTCCAGTTGTCGTGGTGTGTACGATTCACATCAGTAGCCTTTAAATCTTTGAATGATAAAAGATAACAACTGTTTATATTTTCTCTATACGATTGTAATTGTTAAACACTTTGTTTGCAAGCTGGCTTAAAAGAACGGAGTTTTTTTTCATAAACTCTGATTCTCTAATTCATATATCTTTGTAACCAAATATCGTAGACATTTCATATTTCAAACTATGAATTTTGTTAGTTCAAATAATAGAAGTTTGAAAATCAGAGGTCCAGGTTGCAGATATATAGGGATTATAAAATTTGAGTTTGTGGCAAAAACTCAGCTTCCTGAAAGCAAAGTTAGTATTTACTTCCTAGAAGTCGCAGAAAATAAATATTTTCACTTTTCAGTTAGATTTTGTAAAAACCGCGTTGAACATTTGATGCAATTTTTAACATATTCTTAAATAATAAATATAATAAATTGATTTACATCAACCAATTACTACTCTTTCTGTAATGCTGTTACAATAAAGTTTTTATAGTTTAGAGCAGCTCATATCGCTCATTATAACTTGATTGATGAAGTCTCCACGGTTTAAAAAGACTGTCGTTGTTATTTCAAGTGACCCTCCATTTTATGAGGCCCACATGGATTCAGTCTGTTTATAAAAAGCCGCATTAATTTTTAAGACAGGGTCGACTTTGAAGTGTTGCAACACCTTGGGCTTTGATTTTACAACTCTAACTCACAAATGCTTTTCTCTAGTCCTTTACATGTACATTTTAGCACCGAAAAGTACTTGCTGTTAGCATTGGTTTTAAGGAAGAAATTGGAAAAATTCGCATCAATTTTTGCTTTACAGCTTGCAACCTTTAAATCACAGTGGAGGGCGATGTCGGTTCACAGCGGTACCCTTCAAAGTTTTATTTAATCAATGAAATATATCGTTGTTTTTCCAGCTTCAAAGTTTTCTATTCTCACAACTTCCTTCGATGTTTCTGTAACAAGAAATCAGCAAATCACGTTTTTAAGAACCTATAATTGGAAATTAATAAATTTTTTAAGGGTACCGTTGTGTATTGAACATATCGTTACCAATATATGAAGGTTTAATTGTAATTATTGCTGCAGTTCTTTTAAAACGGATCATTTACGAATGAAAAAATGATGGTAGGGTTAATGAAAGAGGGGGGGATAATCTAAATGAAGGCTGGGGAGGGGGGCAAAGATCAAGAAACCCGAACCAAAATAATTACATCCATTTAATTAAAAACTGAACCATATTAATGAATTCTAAATCACGCTCTCAATCAAAGCTAGTATCTTCCGATAATCTTAATTAGGCCTAGTTATGGAAAACAAGCCTCATTTATATGCATTGAATTTTATTACTAATAATTAAACCTATTGTATTAATCATATATATCTATACAATCTTAATAAAAATACAATTACGCAGAACAATGAAATAATACAAAATAGGTAACAATGTAATATTAAACAATTAAATAAATTATGCAATTAATGTTTATAGATACAAACACTTATAAAAATGAATGTCAATGCAGTTACTTCAAACAATTCAGAAGCCAAGTAAAAAAGCTTGATATAATAGATTAGACCCCTCTTGAACTTAATGTGGAAAATATGCACCACGTTATGTTATATTTACAAATGAAAAACTAAATAAATTTATGTTTGGATTTGACCAATGAGAGATCGAGAAAACTCCCCGCGATGAAAGAATGCGTTGAAATCATTTCGATTAATCAAAAGTTTTCAGTTCCGGTTATTTGAACTAATTCAATAGATTCAACTTATTTTTACACCCTCAATCCTTATTAGATTTGCATCCGTAATCCTATACTTCTGGTCCCCCCCCCCCCCTTTTATCCCCATCTAAACCCCCCCCCCTGCTGGGTTGGATTGCCTATATACCTTGTAATCATGTGTAGGTATTCAATACAGAGATCTAACTGCCTCAGGCCGGATCAAAGCGTTTAATTAATAATTTGTAAATTAATTAATTAAAATCAATTTTGATTCACACATGGGGAGTGATAATTTACTATTAAAATTAATTATTTTAAAAACTACTTCTCTAGGAATAAATTTGTTCACGGGGTAAGATTTAATAATTCCATTTGCATAAATCTCCAAAAATGAATGTTTATCTTGATCAAATGAGAGTGAATATAATATTCATGTTCATAAATTCACATTAATATAATAAATTCCACGAAGTTTGAGAATGAGCGCACGAACCAAACCTAAATTGAGATCAGATCCCAAGCCAAGAATGTCACATAATACACCCCCCCTTCAAGCCCCCCCCCCCATTCCTCACTTCCAAGTACTATTTTTGTACATGTTAGCTGCCAACTGATCTTATAACGTTTTGTTGACACACGTATCATCAAATATCAGTTTAGAATATTTTCTGGATGAAAAAACTTATTATTAATACCTTAATGTCTGATATTTAACAAAGATTAATCCTCCATCTCCATAGTTCACCAATCACAAAAGAACATCACTAATGGCTCAATTAATGAAAACGTGACGCGGCGCTCTGTGAAAAATGCGCTAGGAATGTCTGTTCACTTTACAGTGTACACTGGTGTTGAATGAACTGAACTGGCCCAAATCTGCCAACACCCATCCACCCAGTCAGCGCGTAGAGAGCTCAACGCAACAGCGACGGTGGCTGACGCAAAGCGTCGAGATGCAGGATAGATAGATAGAAAGGGTGGAGTCGGTTCAGCCGATATTCACACAACTACATGTGTATATCATGTATAGCATTTACAAAAAGTAAGTCACATTCCCTTCCCTCCCCCTTCGCCATCTCAAATATATATATCTCAACTTCTAAATTGCTTTTTTTAAATCTTATAAAATCATATTTTTAGGACAAATAAAAACAGGGAACATATTTCCCCCGGAAGACATGGACTGACCTTTTAGTATTTAAATTAAGGAACTTATCATTGTTCCATTTCACCAATTTATGAAGCTTAGTCAAATAATAATTCTCTACAGTATTAAACAAAATATGATTTTTTAATGAAAAAAAACACCCAGAAAAATACGGATTTTTTTTAATTAGTCATCGACAAATTTTACATACTGGTAGGGACGACATTGTATTTAAACATTTATAGTTTTTTCAAACGTTTTATGGGTCAGGTTGACCTAAAGGTTTAAAATTTGAAAAAATCAATAAGAATTTTGCCAATTACTTCTTGAACACTTAAGGTAAGCGCACGTGTTTGATAGTTCTAAAATATATTTTAGGGCTTCCAAAAATACAGCTGAGTTATCGAGGTAATATCTAATTATTGGAGACTATTTGAACTGGTATGTCTCAAAAGATGTTTATAGTATATTTATTATTTAATGTATCTATCAGTTTGAAATGTGTACTTTGACTCATCATGATATAAACCAACAAGATAGTAATAATTGCCATTGCCAACTTTGCAGACAGGTTTACTTGAACGAACCCTTACAGTCCCTTTGAATCAAACTAAAAGATCAATTAAAATGATAAATCGATTTAAATCAATTAAAATCATTCTTTCCGTTCCAAAGAGTTCCGGTAAATGAGAACTCGATCCGAGAATGCGATTTAACTCAATCCAATCGAATAAGTTTCGTTTATTCAAAAGTTGTCTGCTCTGCAGTCAGGTAAGCTGTGATATATAAAGCTATCTCTAGAGTGATATTACATGAAATTGCTACTTGATTCTTTTTTATAGCGGTTGTTATCATGTTCAAATAGATTACAATCTACTATGTATATATTATACTGAGTAAAGTAATAGTTTTAAATTATGTTGTACAATGTACATTGTGTACACGTTTTACTGTTTAACCACTTTTAAAGCTTCTTATTCAAAACATATTTAAATTGTTTAATATTGTTTTTTATATTTAGAGTCTTAAACATTTTTTTAGATCTAGATATTTTTTATTCGTTTATACAGTTTGGTTAACATTGTGTTTTCAACAATAAATGTAAATTAGAGTTTAATTTGATGTGCAATTAAGTTTTAAACGAGTTTTTTTTTCTTGAAATTAAAAAAAACTTTTTAAAAAAGTACGAATTCAGATTAAATAAACAGTAAAATATTCTAAAAACTAAAATATAAAATGTTAGCTAAATAAATAAATGCATAAATAAATAAAAAAGATAATTAGATAAATAGATAAATATATGACCCTAAACTAAGCTTCCTGTGCCTACAGTAATAATATAACTGAATAAATTGTGGGTTTTAGAGAAAAATGATATTGATAATTAGACAATCGAAAAATAGATAGATAGAAAGAGAAATAAGTAAATAAACTAAATAGATATGAATAAATAAAAAAAATGTATTTTTGAAATAGAGAAACAAATTAATAGATAAAAAGACAAATATATAAATATATACATAGATAAATATGTTATTAGACTTATAAATGGAAATAGAAATAAATAGTTTTAAAGTTATTTGATTAAAGAGATGACTAAATAAATAGATAAATAGATTTTCTTCTTGTGGGGGATTTTTAACCCCGGTCTTCGGAGGCATTTTATAATCAATACTTTGATCGGCAATATTTAATTCTTGAAACGAGATGACGGCCATATTGAAACATGAAAATAGCGGCGGCCATATTTAATTATGAGCATGCATAAATTAATACCTAATAGTTTTGAAGTGTATAGCTAAGCTTTTAATCGGCTCTTTTGTTTGAGTAAGAATCAATTTGAATTTGTTTAAAATTGATGAAAAAGTTTGAGATCAATCTATTTTTTACTTCTCATAAAAATTTTCAGAAAAAATGTAGAGGCGTTTATCCCTGTAATCTTCAGTGAGTGTTCTAAATGCAAATTTATGACTATAGTTCAAATTCTTAGAAGGGCCCCTTATCTAGATTATTTTAACTTATTAGGACCATTCATCCAACCATTTTTAAATTAGTAAGAGTAGGCCTATACATCCAACCTTTCATTTCATAGTTGAATTATTCATCCACTTTTTCATTCTGTAGTAGCACTATTCCTTTCATAACTTAGAAGTAGGACTTTTTATCTATGTATTTCAAATATCATTGTGTAATTAGGAGGGGGATGGGAGGGGGGTGGGAGCCAGTAATATAGATTAAATAGATATTAATTTTTGCCAATGCTGTGGCCCAAAAAGCGCGCTTTAAACCTTTAGCATATAGATTGTGTTGTAAAAAGGGGCATTACAATTAGGATTAGTACAATTTTCTTGAATAATTCATAAACCCACATTTTTTGAAAATGCGTTGATAAAAAAAGAAATGTATGTATGGGTGGATGTATGTATGTTTCAGTTATTGCGTAATAATGTACGAAGGCAAAATTATTAAAAATAAAAGTAGACGCCCCCTCTTCTCTGGAAATATACTCACACAAAAAAAACTTGTTTAAAAATTATTAATTTTAATTATCTTTTTTAAATGGATATTACCTCCCCCCCCTTCCTTTATCTTGCCACCTTTAAGTTGAGATTTTATAATGTAAAATGAGTTGATTACTGTGCATCAGCATTTCTGGTAACAGTTAACTATAATTACAAGTTGAGCTTACAGATACCTTAGGAATGATACACAGAACCCATTATTTTGCTTGGTATTAGCTTGGGGATCTAAGATTGAAATATCAAAGGTTATCAGGTTACAAAGATAAAAAGATTAGAATATTTAAGTTTGTGGCAAAGACTCAATTCCTTTTCGAAATTATGAATAATAAAAGGTCGGGATATAAGAATCTGTGAGAAATCCATAAAAATCTGATTAATATTTGGGACAAATGCTTCTTCTTTAAATTTCAATTATCTTGGTCTTCATCATGGATTCCGAAAATTCGGAATGTTGTAATATAATTATAATAATTGTATAATATTATTCCAGGAATGCACGTTATGACACTAATAAAGGGGGGAAAAACAGTTCGTCATGCTCGATGACGTCTCCTTCAAAACATTTCAACCTCATTTTTAGATAACACACGTTAAACATAGGGTGCTACAGTTAGCTGTACCTTATTGTAGGGATGGGCTTCGTTTTGGACTTTAAAAATTAACGAAATTTAATTTTTAGATAAACAAACTGTTAAAACTCACTAAGAGTTAGTTTAAAATAGTCATTTTAAAAATTATCGTTTCGTTTCTGATTTTACAAAACGATTTCTTTAATTCTCATCTGTTAACGATCGTTTAGAAACGATTTTAGTTTCCATTTATTTTAATTTGTAAAGGAATCGAACAAAGTCCTTTTGTTTTGAAAAAGTGAAAATTGACCAATCCCTATTATCTGAGTACAGTACAGTAATACATTATTAGGCTAAATGAAAACGGTTTGAACAATACATATTACATAGTTTGAAACATGCAGCATATTTTATAGTTTGGGTTCGTCTTAAAGAGGGTTTATTTGAAGCAATTTCAGTTTTATGTTTTTCAACTACAGTCAAAGAAATTAAGATAAAGAAAATTTCATTGCACTCTGCACTCAATCACACTTGGTTATTTGAAGAATAAAAAACAGATTCGAAGCCCATTTTTAAGTTCTAAACATTATTGAGTTAAAGCATGACATCAAATATCCATATAAACAGTGATTACCAGAAAACTGTAGAATAGAAAGACGACATTAAATCAATACTAAAGTGCATTTGATGCTTTTACAAAGCAACTTGCTCCCGATCCTATCTTAACTTTTTGTTTTTACAGAGGGATTAAAATCAGTATTTCTAATATATTTTTTACTGAAGCGCTATAAATATCATCAAAAATATGATCAAATTTATTTTTTATTTTTATAGATTGGTTCAGCCGTTTCAGAGATGATTGTCAATAGACGGACAGATACAGTATTAGGAAACAAACAGAGTTACCTTAAATAACAGTTTCTTTAACTGCATGGTAAAATGGGTATTTGATGTTTTACAATACAATTCTATGTTGTAATGGATCTTTTATAGATTCTTAAATTCATTTCTTCACACTCCACTCCTTCTTCTCTTTGCTCATCCTCTCTTGTCTGTTTTTTAGAAACTTAAATTAAAATATTTGGAAAAAATTCTTTAAAAAATTCAATAATTGCAATCACTTTTAATAGGTCAAATTTTCACACTGAATAAGTCGCGATAAAAATGTATATTCTATTCATTTGTCAGAAAGTTAAAGGGACTCTCCATACAAAAATGATAATGCCCGATTTACAACGAAACCCTTAAAAAAGCTTTGTCTGATCTACATTATTTATTTTTGTTGTTAAACTTTTTTTTGGATGCTCTAGAAAAGTGACTTGTTTTTTTTTCTTGCATATTGGAAGCAATGTAGAAATGATCAGAATCAAACACTTTTCAAGTCACTAAATCGACGTTATCTTCCACATTTTTGATCAGGCTACAGTTTCAAGGGTTATGCTGTTGTAAATCTGAGATTGCCATCTTGGCATGGAGGGTCACTTGGTTGAAATTACGTTGCAAGTTCCTTCAATTCAAAATTGTCGTTATTGGTTCTGAGCAAAGCTTAACAGTTTTCAAAGTTAGAAACTGTCGACAACATTTCAAGTGTCGACTGTCGACAATATTTAAAGTGTCGACTGTTGACAATATTTTA